TGCTGAATTAACCTAACTAGATCCCTAACCCCGCAGCCTGGAGCTGATGTGAGATGAATTTAGCAGCTGACCCAGTTAAAAAAAGTACAATTTTCAGTATCCTTCAGCCCTGAAAAATATTAAATCACCAAGGTCTGCAGCGATAGGAAGGAATACATGAAAAAACATTGATGAGCCACAGCCAAAAATCATTCTTCTCGAGGGAAACAGCTGATGATGCAGCAGAGTGCCCAGAGTTGGTCCAGATTCCCTCTGAAATCACCAGGAGCCAGGATTCCCCGGTGACCTGCATCATTAAGCTCCAAACACCACTCAATGATTTATTTCTACCTTTTAATGCTGATGTAAATGATCAGTGAAAAGCCATTAGCTGCAATTAATTTCTGCAGCAGGCAGCCCGAGCCCTCAAGGACAGACTTTTACCTTGTGCTAAAATTAATGGCTGGACGTTGTATTTTGCCAAATACATCCCAAAGTAATGACATAGATGTCAAAATGGGGAAGAGTATCGTTCAACTTGGTTGCATGCTGCGGGGCATCGTTGATGCAGAAATTAATTGCTGCCAATGGATTTTCAGCAACATGCCAAAGTTGCTGGAGACAGCAAAAAAAAAATAATTCACTCTCAGTATTCCCAGTCTGACCTTGCTACTGTTACTCACATGAAAATTTAATTCATGAAAATACTTATGTGGACTGCTGGGGAAACGTGAGCTGCAGCACTGCTTCCTTACATGGTTTTCTTCAAAAATAAGCTTGGTTTATCTGATGTTAGTTTTAAAGATAGCAAGCTGCTAGGGAATGCCAGCCCCACCTCGCCGCAGCGTTTCTTTACTGAGCTGCGACTTGGTACCTTTGAACTAAAACATTGTATTTATTTTTTATTTTAGAAACGAGAAGACGAAGATGCAGATGTAAAAGGTTAGTTAAGTGACAGATGTTGACATTTTTCTCTTAAACTTGGCAGCATCTCACCTTCAAGAGATAAAGCAGGCAGGTGCCAAAAAATGACCTAAAAATGCTTCATCTGATAAACAGTGGATGGGAGAGGACTGTGTAATGAGTTAAGGGCAAAAAAAGAGAGATAATATTTTAGAAAAAAAAAAAAAACAAAACCAAAACTGAAACACAGGAGGAGAAAATCTTAAGTAATTCAAATCATTGAGCACTGACCCTGCAGTAGATACTAAACAGAAAGACAGGAGGTGCTTGCGGCAGCCTAAAACTTCACACACCACCTGATGCTTATAACTGACATCGCATTTGTGTGCTCCAATGCACGACTCCAACTTGAGCCTGGGGCTGACCGTAGTTCATCCCTTCCCCTCCCTGAATTGTTGATTTGATTTCATCACTGGACCTTCAGATTGTGTCCATGGATTAGATGCAAGTTATTCCACCCCCAAATCCCCCTCTGCACAATTTTGGACCAACATCACCGTGCTTTTATGCCACGTTCCCCCAACAGGCACTAAGGAACAGCAGCAGAAAGGCTGACGCAGCCTTACATGACTTTCCTGAGAAACAAGAGGGCAGCTATGTGTTCATATATATATACACACATATATATACATATATGTATATATACCTATTTTCTAGGATAGAGAGAAACCCTTTTTTTATGCTTTCTCTCCTGCCTCCCCAATCCACCCATCATCCTGAGTCACCAGGAAAACACTATCAGAATAAAAATTGCCATTTGCCAGTTTGGAAGAAGAAATCCTTTTGCCTGCCAGTAACGGGCATTTTGCTTCTGCAAATTGATCTCCCTGCATCTGTTTTCTTCATCTCGCCTGTTCTGCAGAAAACCACTTCTGCAGCTTTGCAACCTTTGTGCTGAGAGCGCACCCAGCGCTGGGCTAGCGCTTGGAAAAGCTGGGCTGCAAGAAAGTTTGGAACAGTATGTTCACACCTCTGGAGACTTACTCTTTGTAAATCAAGCATCTTTTAAATCAGATGAATTCATGTTCCTTGTTATATATTCACAGGTTTCATAGTAAAAAAGTTAATAGTTTTTTAGTGCTCCAAATTAATACAATAATCAGAAAGAATATCCCTCCCTCTACATTAACAGAATAATTTTTTTTTAAGGGTAGAACACATCAGAAATCGTTGCCTGAATAGTAACAGTGTCTAAGGGAAGAGGCACTGAGTGGCAATGCCTTCTGCCCTTCAGGTGCAATCTTCCTATATATCTACCAGCATCCAGCTGCACCCACAGACCTTTATTTTCCTTTACCTGTCTGAAAAAGGGAACAGCCTGTCATTTTTATGATGGATATTTATTATATCCAGCGCTCTTTTGATCCTCGCCTGGTTTTCCAAGGGCTAAATGATAACGAAGAGCTCTTCTTACAGCCTTGTTTGGGAAGAAGCTTACATTCTTCACTTACCTCAATCTCTGTTGCCAGGCCTGCGCAAAGATGTTCTGTCCCTAAGGGAAAAAAACCCCACACTGCAGAGCTCTTCAATTTTGCACCGATGGAGCGGTTGGGTTACAAGTGCCTCAGGAAATCATCTCATCAAAGATAGCTTTCCTTCAGCAGCACTAACATGACAGACTTCTGGTTTAAGCAATTGTAGCATATTTAA